AATAAGGAGCAAGTTTCCTTAATTATAAATGTGAATGAGGAGAAATAAGGGGTAAGTTTACTTAATTGAAATGGAAGTATGGGTTTAAAAATTCTTGTTTTTATTTTTGTGAAATCTTCCCAAAAATATTTTTGCATGAATATAAAATTATTAAAAATATTCGTATACATAAAAATATATAATTATTATTTACTAAGAAAAATATGGGGGATTACATCCGGTCCTATTTATGTACACCCCTAGATGAAATCAAACAAATTTCAACTGCTGTAAGTGTTTTATTTGTTTAGTAGTTACCCTTTATTTTAATAAAGCTACCCTTTATGCGCACAAAAGTTACACTTTATGTGCACTAAAGTTACCCTAAATGTTCAGTTTAAGTAACTTTTTCATTATTTTTCTTTGTTACATTTGTTTAGTTTTTTCTTTGTTTTTCTATTTGTAGGTTGTTCATGAATCCTTTCTTTTGCTTAAAAGAAATATGGTTGTTTTTTCAAGCGTTCAGTCAAAGAGTTTTAAAAATTTGAGTGATTTGGTCTTCTGAAATAACTACTTCATTGTCTTTTGAGGATCCTGTAGCAGCTTTTCAAACTCAACAATTACTCTCTGATCCTCATTATCATAAGCTTTTAGATGGTATAATTGAGGAGTGTATGAAGATGAAGTCTGCACATGAGTTTTTTCAGTTTGACATTCCTTTTGCAAGAACTCATGTTGAAGGTTGTCGTCAAGAAGATGTTCCTCAAGATGTTCTTGAACGTGGTAATAATGAAGATGTTCCTGAACCTAGTAATAATCAAGATGTTCTTGAACCTCGTAATAATCAAGATGTTCCTCAGCCTATCAGATCCAATAAATCTTTATGTTCACTAGACTGGGGGCCAGTATGAAGGTGCCTTTTGTGACTCTTTTTATGAAGGGTAATGCTCGGATTTTCGACAGATTGCCTCAGTTACAGTTGGAAGTTCTTGATTATTCTTTGCTGAAGGATAAAGCAATGGATAGGAAGTTAAGTGTCATTTTCAGTCATAAATATTCTTTTCTCCGTTTTTTTTTTTTTGCTTGATTTTTTTAATGCTTATCTTATTTTTTATCGTTGCAGTGAGAACCTTGTGACTTTTGGGATGAATTGTCTAGTTCCAAGAGAAGATATGGTGTCCATTTCCTCTCCACTTAAGATTCGATGGTGCATTGTTGATTGCTATGCTCTGTATTTGAATGAGGTAGCATGTTTTGAGTCTTCTGGTCCTCGAAGATTCTTTTTTGGTGTGAGGCAAAGTGTAAGTAACTTGATGCTTTTATATTTAAACACATTGACTTTATATTTATATTAAACACAATAACTTGATACTTTAATAGTTTGAATTGTTGCATGTTTGTGAGCTTGAGAAAGGTGACAATTCTGGTCTTGTTAATGATTTGCAAGGTTTATAGGAAGGGTGGGTCGACTACGAGAATCATGGATGTGATATATTGGATTCTAAACTGGTATATTTCATACTAAACTAATATCATACCCTTAAAAGAGTCATGTCTGTGAAATGCTCATTAAAACACTTTTAATTACTGTTTCAGATCTATGTTCCTATTCTTATTGAGGAACACTACGTTCTGTTTGTTGTTGATCATGCAAAACAGTTGATTTACTATCTTGACAATATTATTTGGTGTGATGCTACTCTAAACTACTTTCAAAAGTTTTCTTTACATATGGTATGTTCCTGTTATTGAGAAGTAATATACTTTGTGTATATACAAGCTTATATTTTCAATTTCATTTTTTTTGTATTCAATGCATTCTTAACTTTTATATTTTTCTATCAGTGTGATCAATTGAGTGATTTTCTTGGAAAAAGAAATCATCTAAAGAGTAAGCAGCTACCTTTCTATAAGTTTAAAGTTGTTGATTTTCAATGGAAAAAGACTAAGATTGACAACACTGAATGTGGAGTGTTTGTCATGTATCACATGCTCCATTTTATTGGTGAATTGTTCATATAAAATGAACTCAAAACGTACAGTAAGTATTCATCTATTTGTCTTTTTTTTCCCCTTTCTGATGTTTAGTTCTTTCATATTGATAAGTTTTTTTTTTCTCTGTTGTGAGGTTGTTAGAAGAAAATATTTGCGTGGACAGATCCGTACCACACTTGTATTGTGTGATATGAATGAATCAAGGGCAGACGTATTGACATAAGTAGACAAGTTCAATGAGAGGAAGAAAAATGCTGATTATATCAAGGAAATTGAAGAAAGAAGAAAGGCTACAATAGCTGAGAAGAAAAAGAAAGCAGCACAGGTAAGGAAAAAGAAAATCCCAAAGAAAAAAGGACAAAAAAGCCGACAAAGAAGTACACTCCTTCTAAAGAGTGAACTGACTTGTTATGATTAGGTGGAGTAGTATATTTTGAAAACTCAATGTATGTGCATACATCAAGTATAATGATGTAATTAAAGTTTCGATGGTATAGTTTTTGGTGGTTTTTTGTAAAAGCTGAATGTAGTTTTTGGTGGCCTTTTTTTTTTGAAAACTGAATGTATGTGCATACATTAAGTAATTTAAGATGTTATTGGTATATATCTTTCTTTTAAATTGTGCACAAAATAGGGTCACTTCATGCACTAAAAAGGGCCACTTTATGCAGTTATTTAAAACGGTCACTTTATGCACTAAATAGGGTAAGTTTAGTTTTTTTTATGGGGTCACTTTTGTGCACATAAAGGGTCACTTTATGTGCACATGAAGGGTAACTTTTGTGCATAAAAAGGGTAAGTTTTGTGGATAAAAAGGGTAACTTTTGTGCATAAAAAGGGTAACTTATGTTCACAAAAGGGTATGTGTTTCCCTATTTCTTTTACTCTGTGCATGTTCCCACTATAGCAACATGTTCTCACTATCACTAGTAGAAATTAGTAAATTGGAAGCGGTTCAAAACCATAATTGGAAGCGGTTTTTGAACCGCTTGCCATTAGGGGGCTTCCCATTGTCTCTTTAAATGGGAAGCGGTTCAAACCGCTTCCAATTTAAATGGAATGGGAAGCGGTTATATGCTAAACCGCTGCCTATTGTGAATTTAAAAAATTAAAAAAAAAAATTAACAGAAATTAACACACAAAATATAAAACATATGTATAAAAATTTATATTTCCATTAATAATTAATTTTAATATTATTACATTATAATTCACCACCAAAAAAAATTACAACCAAAATCACCACCACCCTATTCCGCCACCACCACAGTCAAAGCCACCAGTCCGCCACCAGCCGACGCCAGCAATTAACACATTTAACAGAAGCCGGCAGCCCACCACCGCAACTGACGCCAGTAGCCCACCACCGCAACCCTCGATTTTTCCCGTAACCCAGAAATCCCTACGAACCCAGAAAAACCCAAAACCCCTAGCCTGCATCCACGGCTTTCCCACCTCCACCCCTGTCCACCACTACGCCACCCCCAGCCTGCATCCACGCCCTTTCTCACCTCCACCTCTGTCCACCACTACGCCACCCCCACCCATAACCATACCCTGAACCCACCAACTCCACCCACCCTAACCCACAATCCAAACCATCCTAACCACCGAATACCCAAACCAGCCCACCACCACAACCCTAAAACCACTAACAACCACCAAAATTCACCACCAGAAAACCAAAAAATAAAATAAATATATTAAAAAAAAAACTAAATTGAAAACAAAAGAAAAAAAATCTAGATCTACAATACTTACCTGCTCGGATTTTGCTCGTTTTTTCCTCGGATTTTTGCCGGTGATAAGAGGAGAGAGAAAACAAAGGGAGGCTTAAGAAAGGAGAAGGAAAGATCAGAAAGAGAACGAAGGAGATGGAGAGAGGAGAGGAGTGAGAAATGACGGAAGAAGGGGCGTGAGAAAAGGGGAGAGAGGAGAGAGAAGAAGAAGGGGCGTGAGAAAAGGGGGGAGAGGAGAGAGAAGAAGAAGGGGCGTGAGAAATAAGGGGAGAGAGAAGAGAGAAGAAATAAGGGAGCTGAGAGAGGGGTCCGTGTTTTTTTTTGGGGGAATGGGGAGCGGTTTACCCCCAAACCGCTTCTAATTACAATATTTAGAAGCGGTTCAAACCAAACCGCTTCCAATTCTCCTCTTTTTTTTTCCCGGGTTTTTGTATGAAATTGGAAGCGGATTCCAATAACCGCTTCCAATTAGTGGCTTCCCATTACCTATTTTCTACTAGTGTATTGTGCTAATAAGAGTATCATTTAAAGCTTGAAATGAGTACTTAAATTTTAACCAAACTATATATAGAGTAAAAAAAAAAGAGTATAACAATACAAAGTATAAAAATAATGATAAAAAATTGTTCTAACTTTGGTAGAAAAAATTCTTAAAAGAGTTGTATGTAGTTTTTTTTATCCAAATTCTGAATTTGGAGGTGGCAGTGCTGGTTTTTTTTTTTTTTTTTTTTTTTTTTTTTTTTTTTTTTTTTTAATTCCCTTTTTCAAGCCCTCCTTTTTCTCTCTTGCTTCTTCCTTTTGTTACAACTCTTTTAGGATCAAGTATAGTTGGTACACTTGTGCTTGTACTGGATGATGAAGAAACATCATTATTGCTCTGAGTGCTATCTGCCACACCAGGAATGTCAGAAGTAGCTTCAGCACCTTGTTCTCTCTGAGCAGTAGTAGCAAGTAACTCTTCCACCCATTTTAGACTATTTCGAAAGATTTCTTCCATAAATGCTCTTGTCTCTTCATTTTTCTTGACTTCTTAAGATTAAATTGTAGTATTTCCTTATCATTGTTTGCCTCCATGGTATATATAGCTGCGTAGGATCTTGATTCTTCAACCTATTCCATGCCTCAGATTTTGGTAACTTAGTCCATTTTTTTTGTAACATACTTTTCTGGTATTCTTGTTACTGAATGTAGGTGTAGAATTCTGATGCAATGATAACATAGCCATTCAGTTGCTTCAAAATTTTTGCAAGTACACCATACACTTTGGCTCTCATGTAAATAGTTTACTTAATGTGCAGACCATGGCTTGTCTTCTAGGGATACTTGATAAAGTACATATTCCTCAGTTCTCCCTATCATTTGAACAGTTGTTGGCATAGAGTATCCAAACTCCTCTTCAAAATCTCTGAAGAATGACAAAGTGAAAACCTGTGCACCAAAATCATGTAGCTATTGTTAATTTGCTATATATTTTGTGTTTTTTTTATAACTTTTGAGTATAACTTTTTACCTGTGCAACATGCTTTAGTATTTCGGGCAGTGGCAATGAAGTGAATGCTATTGGCTTGCTACAGGTGAACTCATTATATTTCTCTGTGCTTCTCCAACGATTGATTGTCTTCTTAAATATGGCATAAAATTTTGTCAAGGTAGTTGATTTACTTGCTCTGAAACCTATTGCATGATTTGTGCTTTCACTCCTATGTGATGAAAGAATTCCTGCTGAAAAGAAATCTCTACCAAGGGCTGGACACCATTTCTTGTTGAGTTCATACACTCTTTTGTACCAAGAGTGTGTTGTCAATTCAAATTTGTGTATCATTGCATGCCACCTTTCTTCAAATTCTTGTTCAGTCACACAACCCTTTAAGCATTTGTTGAATTCATGCTTAAATTCTTTATCTTTTTTAAGAGTCCTAAATCTTGTGATTGCATTTTGTTTTAAATGTCATATACAAAGTCGATGCCTTGTATTAGGTAACACCTACATTCAAAGCAAAATGTTGTATGTTGTCAGAACTTGTTAGTTTTGCAATCAAAATAGTTAGGGTAATATGTAAATATAAACTTTTTACCTGCTTAATTGCATTTGACATTGCTTGGTCCTAATTAGTGAATATTGAGGTTGGTGTTTTATCCTCCATAGCTTTCTTGAAGGTTTCTAGTAACCACACAAATGACTCTGTTTTTTCATCCCTAATAAAAGCACATGCAAACATACAATTTTTCTAGTGATTGTTTATGCCAAAAAGGACCACATATAAGATTATATCGGCTGGTTTTGTATGTTGTATCAAAGACAAGAACATCTCCGTATATCTATAGTCTTCTAGCATCATTTAATCTCTCCAAAAGATGTTGAAAATTCTTCCTTCATTGTCAAATTTCACTCTAAAAAAGAAGTTTGGATCCTCTGATTGTTCCTGATTTAAAATGTTCACTAAAGTTTGAGCATCTCCAGCCTCAATTTGCTCCATTCTTAACGTTGAGCAGAAATTCAGGTGATCTATAACACTATGCCCTACATTTTTCTCTCCCCCAGCTTATGTAGAAATGTAATTATAAGTGTCTATTGTAGTCAGACCTGAAGATTTCATTGTTTTGATTGCTTCAACTTTTTCTTTTGTCATTTTTCTTTCAGAACGATGCAAATAATGCCACTGTGACCTTGTTAGTTCGTGGTTATGTTGTAATACATGCGCCACCACCTCAAAATGTCCTTTATTTACTTTCGCTCTTATGCATGCCTTGCAATCAGTTCGTGTAATGGCTACTTGTCTTGGCTTTCTTGTTTCCACGTTTACATTCTCTTCATCAACCATTTCAACTAATTTTGTTTTTCTTATCACCTAAATTTCTCTTTTCTTCTGTAGAACACACATAATTCTTCTCTTGGACTATCTTTGTGTGTGTGAAGTATCTTGTTGTATGCTTTCTTATTGAAAACCCCAGTATAGCAGCATGTTTTTCGTACGATTCCAAAATTTTTGCAAAAGTTTTTTTTTACCACACCAACAAATGATCCTCTAATATCTAAACCAGAAGCATAAATTAGATTTGCATCCGTGATTTAATGTAATAAGTATATGTTTTAGCATAATATTCACACAACACTCATACTAAAGGATTAATTCAGACATATCAAACAACCAGAGGCAGCATAACATTCTGTTTATAAATCAAAGTGAAGGGGAGTAATAATATGTGGTATATGGGTCACTTATATGCATAAAAAGGGTAACATTTGTGCATACAAAGGGTAACTTGTGTATTCTGAATTTCTCGAGAGTAATTCGTGGATTAGTAATTCGTGCATTCATACATGTAACATAATATCATATCAAAAATAACAATTATGATTCCTTATTCATCTAATTTGGTTACTCAACAATTAAAATAAAACAATATGAATTTTGATTAATTAGAAGGTTGATTGTATAGAAGTTACCTTTAGTTGCATTTGATTTGGATGTTTGTTTTGAATTTGTGTCAATTGATTTATGAGGGACAACCTGATTTTCTCTCGCTTCTGCATTGTCTGCTTCATCTGGATTGTTATTATCGCCAAAACTCTTTGTTTCTTTTTCTATAATCGAGCGATTTAAATCGATTTCAACAAAAGAATTTGAGTTCTCAAAATTACCTAACAATGGAGTTTCAATTTGCCTCTGTTATTGTAGTAATTCGTGGATTAGATTACCGCAATTTGAGGTATTGAAGTTTGTTGATGAATTTTCCGTTGATGATCAAATTCCTAAGGTATGAGTTTTCCCATTTTCTCTTTCTCTCTGCATGTTCTCAATTTCTCTCTCCTCCATTTTTGTTCTGCGTGTTCTTGCGTGTTTGTTTTTGAAATTAAAAAAAAAATGCTCGCATGTGCCAGCCGCTGGATCTACAATAACTTTATTGAAAATCGGGGGCATGCAAATTTTTTTGTAAAATATTATACATTTGCTATAAAGTTACCTTAAAATGATAAAAAAATTACCCTTATAATGAATAAAAGTTACCCACATATGTAAGTTACCCTAATATAAATAAAAGTTATTTATGCTTTATTGATAAAAGTTACCAAAAAAAATAAAAGTTACCCTAAATTCAATAAAAGTTATCTCGATGTACAGTAATATTACTGTACATCGCATGTATACAAAAGTTTTTTTTTTTTGAAAGAATGTATACAAATTTTTTTTGATAAAGAATAAGTTCAGATTAGTTCAATTTAGATAAAAAAAAATAAAATAAAAAATTAATTTTAACAATTTTATGTGCGGTTTTTTATCGTTAAATATCTTTATTTTGTAACGAAAAAAATTATGAAAATTACATATTACTCCCTCTGTCCCATAATACATGACACATTCAAACATTGCACACATGCCAATCCATTAGCCTGACTTTATTTTTATACTAGTTTTGTGCCTGGGCGATGCCTAGATTGTTGATAAAATTTCAGTATAAACTTTTTTTTCTTGAATGTTAAATACAATTCTATAATCCCTTTTGATAATGTAGGATATTTAGACATACGATATTATATGGTTTATATTTATATATTAGGTGTACTTTTTGTAGTTTTTTTGTAAATAGATATCTATGTTATTATTGACTTGAAATTATTTTTATTGAACTTAAATTATTTTTACTAATCTGAAAGTATTTTTACCAAAATAAAATTAATTCTACTGATTAAAAATTATTTTTACTGATTCTCTAATAATTTTTTAAAATAATTTAAATAACAATGCATTTTTTATGCGGCTAGCCACACCATCTGGACAAACAAAGTAACCCCTGTAATACTAACTGAGTAATCTCTAACACTGCCTAAGTAACCCTTATCTATATCACTGATTAGTAACCACTATAACATTGACCAAGTAACCCCTATAGCACTAACGAAGTAACTCTTGTAATAGTTGGTGACACGGCTTGGCCAGCTACGTATAAAAGTTTGTAATTAAATATATTATAAATGGATCTTATTTAAAATAACTTTTTAAAACAAATTTGACGATTGAAATATTAGAATTCTATCGATAATAAAACTCTATAAAACAATCTTATCTTAAAAAATCTATCCAAAAATTGCTTACTTAGCATCATATGTGTCACAATAACACTTATTTATCTCCTACATGGCGTGACACTTGGCGAAAAACTGGAATGTCAAGTGTCGCTGTCTCGTGGCCTGGCTGCAAGACCGGCTTTATATATTAGTGATATGATAATTAAATATTGATAAAAATTATTTTAAAAATTATATTACGAAACTTTATATTAAAACCTATCTAACAACATATTTTATGATAAAATATATTTTTTATTATGTTAGTAAAAAATTATGGTCAAACCTAATGCATGAATAGTGAAAAAAATGCCAACGTCACATGTATTATGGGACGGAGGAAGTAAAAAATACACATTATTACAAATCTAACAAGAATCACTTAATAATTTTTTCTTTAAAAGAAAAATTCATTTTAATAATCTCAACTTTAGGTGATTATCGTACATAGATCGGATTAGATCATACCAAATCAAATCAGATAAGCAAAATTAAAGTGAACTAAACAAGCCCTAAGTGCCTGATATTCTAATTTGGTGTCCCAAAATTTAGTGTCTATTTTTATTTGGAAAAATACACTTTATTAATCCCAACTTTGCCCAATTTACTTTGATAATCCCAACTATCGATTATTTTGCAATAATCCCAACTTTCACCCCGTTTTCTTCTATCAATCCCAAACTGGTCAACAAAAGTCAACAACCTTTTATTGTAGGTTGCTGGACACGCGTCGTCACGTGAGTGGTCCATTTTTTTTTTTTTTTTTAAAAAGAAAAAAACAGAAAAAAATGAAAAACTGACTTAGCCATACAACCACCCTAACCTGTCGCCGCACAGCCGCTACCCACCTAAACCACATCTTTTCCCGACCAACCAACCGGAAACGACCCCCTCTCCCTAGCTCCACCGTCGAAATCGGACAAAACCCCAAACCCTTTCCCTTGAAACCACTCCCATCCCCCAAAACCGCTCAATCTGCGAGAACGAAGGCGGGGAACGAGAACTGGTGGTTGCGGGCTTACGGTGTAGGTTCTGGGAATGACAGTTGGGGTATGGTGGAACAAACGAGGACGAGGTTGGCTATGGTGGATGGTGGTTGCGGGCTTGCGGCGGAGGAGAGAATTTGACGGTAGTGCGAACTGGAAATAAATCGAGGACAAGGTTGGCTATGGTGGTTGGTGGTTGCGGGCTTGTGGCCGAGGAGAGAGAATTTGACGGTGGTGCGATCAAGGTTAGTGGTACAGAATTGGGGTGGCAGTTGGGGTGGTTCCCAATGAGGCTAGGGAGGAGGGGATGGGGCTAGGGAAGGGGAGTGGATTTCTGGTGGCCGGATCTGGGAATTAAGGGGTGGCTATGGGTTTTTTTTGTTTGTTTTTATTTTTTTGGACTAATAAAAGTGTGACATGTGGGATTTTAATTCTTTAAAAAAAAACCTTTTCAGCACGTAAGCGGTGTTCGGTATTGCTAGAAGAAAACAGAGGTAAAAGTTGGGATTATTGCAAAATAATCGATAATTGTGATTATTCAAGAAAATTGGGCAAAGTTGGGATTATTAAAGTGTATTTTTCCTTTTTATTTTTGTTTCACGTATAATTACTTACATAACCCTACTTTATGCCTTTTAAACATAATAAAAATTTCTAAATACTTTATAAAATTGGTGCCTTCATGTACTTCACCCATGCTTTTTCATTATTGTCTCCACTAAAATAACAAAATTTCTAGTGTTTAGTGGGTTTAAAACTTCTAATTTT